GTAGTGACTAAAATGTAAGAAGAAATGCAACTTCTATCCAGTAAATGCAAGAGCCATAATACTCGTATATCTAGTAATCAACTTAAGAAAATTTTGGTTTTTTAAAATCTATTTAATGGTTTTAAACGTGATCACAGTTTTAAAATAATCGTATAATTCAGAATATTTATAGAAATTCCCAATCGGATAATTATTCGGTTTGTTTTTCTCACATGAGATTAAATTGCTCTAAAAGAAAGTTTTAATATTTGACCGATATCGATTGTCTGTCTCCTAAATCACATGGTACATTTTAGCAAAAATATTCACTGGAACCACATTCGCAACTTCTCGGCCCTTTCCTGCAAAATAAGGCCAATGAATTATGAATAATAGCCGAGATGTTGTCCTCTATATAAATATATAGGTCACTGAAGCTGAAAACCTAAATTAAAGAAACATTTTTAAAAGATTTTTAAAATTCAGACGCTACAAGTTAAGGTCCAAGATAAGACATTTGGTAAAACGCATTCCCAAATTGTGCTCTTCAAACGTTTATAAATTATGCCCCTTCGAGTACTTATTCAAAAACAAAAGTCAACAAAAACGTTTGACTCTTATTGACAGAAAATACATGACACATATACATTGTACTATAATAAAAATAATAATAATAATAATAATGATAATAGTAAATAGATATTTGGCATAGCTCTATGTGCTCAACAAAAGTTATCTTTATCATGTCGCATTTGATATATAATCATTCAAAGAATTAATACTGAAGTCAAAAAGCCTAAAAGCATACAATTTGAAAATTCTTGCATAGGCCAAGTGAAGCCGTTAAATGGAAAAATGTGCAAAGGATATTGAAGCTATTCTTGGAAAGCGTTGGAACGCTTTTCATTTTGGGGTCATTTTGCGCCATAAAAATGATTATTCTGGAAACTTGGAATGAAGTAATCATTTGACACACATGTTATTTGTCCAGACCTTCATCAAATGGTATACAAATCTCGGAAAATTAATTCTAGTCCCGTCATGTCAAAAAAAAAACATAGTGGACCTCCGTTGACATAGTAGTTTGCATTGTCAAATAGGTACATGTACAAGTTTTATCACCAAATGCTATAAAGATAATGATTGTTTGGTTTTAAACTACATTGTAGTCGAATTATTCTTTCTTAGACTTCCTGGTTTTGGGTGAATTATAAAATCGAACATATTGTATCTTCCTTTCTCAAGTTTGTGAAATTATGAACAAAAATTTTAAGGATAACTGATCCTTTTGGGAATTTATAGGAATCAGATAGGAATCAGATTTTCATCATTTTTGTCCATCCCGCTTGCGGGGAGCTCGACTTAGTCGCCACTTTTGGCGTAAAGTTCGGTGTATGTGCGTCCGTCCGTGCATCCGGATTTGTCCGGTCTATATCTTGTTAATTCTTTGAAGGATTACAAAATGTTCACCATGAAAGGGTGGTGTGTCGCACACAAAACGCAGGTCCGCTGCTCAAAGGTCAAAGTCACACTTAGATGTCAGCGCAAAATCGGCGTCCGGAGCGTAACTTCCACATGCATGGATTTTAATATAACTCGGGACAAATTTTCACCAACGTCAGGTCAAATAACAAAATAAAACTTTATTTGCGAGTCTATATACAATGATGGATTTTCATATAAGTTAAAACAAATGTTCTGCAAGGTGAGGCATGGTGAGTTGAGTTGTAATGCGCAAAATGAAAGTCAAGGTCACATGAGGTCACAGTTCAAATAAAATATCGAAATTTGGTTGTTAGCACTGTATCTTGCTTATGCTTTGAAGCATAATACTTAGAGGTCAGAGGATTTTTGTCAAGCCTGATTGCGCTGAGATCGACATAAATGTCAAAATGGTTGTGCAGTGTACATGCCATAAATTCTTTGTGCATGGAGGAATTTTCAAATAACATAAATTGAGTGTTTAAGGCATAAATGTTCATCATGAGATTCGTGTCATGCGGATGAACCAGGTCACCTAAGATGATGCAATGTCAAGTTTTTGCCTTTGGTATAAAGAGGATGTGTTGCGCACTTCTCACTTATGTATACATCTTTCTCCTTGATCTGGAGCTTTTAGGTTCAGGTATGAATTAAGACAAGCGGGCTCGACAATCTGCCCGTGGGCATGTCTTGTTATTCTTTTCTAGAAAGTATAAAATATTCTTTTATAAACCATGCCCATAAAACAAAATGTAGATTTATGTTTTGTCGTAGTTTCTTATTTGCATTGAAATATCAATCATTTACATTCTTTCTATTTTTTAAACATGCATGCTCTTTGCATATCTATATTACTTGAGAAAAATGTCTAATGAATACCAGTAGGTAGAAGAAAGATGCTGAGTTTCGAACACTAGACCTCTCAATTCGGAAGCGAACGTCTTATCCTTGGATAACGGTCTGTACAGCCGATAAATAAATAGGAAAGCAAGGCTACTTGTACATACTAGAATAACGTAGTGTAGTGTAAGGGGATGTAATCAATAATACATTGGAGCAAAATATGCAGCATTTTATCCTTTTTGTCTTTATATATATCTAACGTGTGTAATACATTTTAGTTTTTATTATTAATGTTTTAATATAAATTGATTTATGAAAAAAAGCACAAAACAAAACAACAATCACGAAAAATAAAATATTGATTAACCAATCATGCTAAAGATCACGTGCCTTTACGTACAAAAAACAAGCATCCATGCTTTAAAAACTAATTGCATTCCAATATCCAGCGAATTATGAAAAATCTTCTTTTCTTCAACCCATTTCTTAATCCTGTTCAATTTTGCGTATAACATCATCGAATAGCATTCGGCCAAACATTCTATAAAGCATTCTTAGAAGGTCAATGAAAACCCATTTAAGAACTTGCACAGGATAAAAATAAACATTTAAACTACGTTCCGATGTACATAATTATAATTTTGGATCTTGAAATAAAGCTTTATCAATAATTTTGCTGTACATTGGCTTGATCCGTCTCGTGCAGATATCGGTATATTAGATGTATATGCAAAAATTACCTCTTGACTGAATATCAAACGATGTTTAAAATGTGTAGCATTATATTTTATAACGATATATTATGATCCGGGTTTTTGAAAAAAAAAATCATACTCATTTAAATAACGTAATTTGGCACTAAATGAAGTAAGTTTGCCATAAATTGTTAAAATGAAATACATGGACGTGCATTTATTTAAGATATTTCTCTGTGTGTAGACACTTGTAGGATTAACAAGACAGTGTCGCGTGCAATAACTACGCTGTCCCATTAGGGCAACCGCGTCAAACACACAACACCAAAGAACAAAACCACGATGGTGAAAGGTCGAAAGTGCAATGGTGATATATATTTTACTATCGTACTTTCGACATTTCATCATCTCACTTTCGACTTTTCACCATCGTAGTTTCGTTATTTCGACTTTTCACCATCTTATATTTATGATTTTTTTGGTTCGAGTTATATGTGTTTTGTGCTAGCCACAACGTGACACCGTAAATAACCTTACCTTTAAAAAGGAAATAAAAATTAAGGATTTTTTATAATTACATGTTAGCTCACCAGATCACAGTGTACTTATGGTAAGCTATATTGTGATTACCCTGTGTCCGTCGTTTACTTAAACAATATCTCCTCCATAGAGTAATAAAAATATACAGGAATGATTCTAAGAGGGTCTTCTAGAAAATGTTTAAATGGTCTGCTGAGCAAGAGAAACGCAATAAGTAATCAACTTAAGATGACAACTCTTCGTGACTTTTATGAAGCTTAAAAATGAAATTTTTTTAGGAAGCCCTTTAAATAAATTTGATTTGTTGAACAAGACGGCCACCAGAGTGAACAAGAGCTGTCGATAGCGTGATTGACTATTACTATTGCTTGGATAATGAACAATTTTCCTAGTTTAAAAAGGACCACCATTCTGTGAAAATCTATGTTAAGAGTAAGGCCCATGGGCCTTGGAAGGTGACTTATTATGCTCTCCAATAAGTTTGTGCAGTTGCAACCCATTCCCTTCAGTAGATTCGGGGTTACAAACCTGCACGCAAAAACTTAACGAATATGATGCCGACGCCTAGGTAAGTACAAAATTTATAGTTCTCCATATTCCTCGAAATGTCGACCTGAAAATGGACATAAACTTTAAAGAAATTTCTATAGATTGTATAAGGAATTATCAATACGTTGTTCTTTTATAAAAATAGTTTCTGTTATTGTTCTGGTCTGCTGTATAAAATGGCCGTCACAGCTGAAATAGAACAAAATCTTTTATAAATGCCATCTCATCCTCAATCCTTGCTAAACGATTTTGATGAAACTTTACAATAATGATAATTAGGAGGTCCTTCACAAAAGTTGCTAAAATCGTGCCTGACTTCTGAACAAGATGGCCGCAAAAGCTCTTATATAAATAGGATTAAGAGACATTTCCTATTCAACCATGCGACAGGTTTTGATGAAACTTTACATGAATGAGAAATGGTCACCAGAGCTAAAAATAGAAATAAGCTTTAAATGCATTCTCTCAGTTGATTGGTAGATGTAGCTGAACGTCTACAGGAATGAATAATTATAAATGAAATAAAATAATGGTCTACATCTCTAATATTTCACATAAAGTGTTCCGTATTTGATATCTACATATGTTTATGAAATATTTTTTCTTGCTTTAAAATCGCCCAGTCGCAGGTTTATCAAAATTATATTAGAAAAATATCGAAAGGGAAAGAGCTCTGATTTTGTTAGGGGAATGTCTTGTCAATGTCAACCATATATTCTACATGCAGTGAGCGATTATAGGTCATCGTAACCCTCTTGTTTCAATGTAATTCTGATTGATTTGTTGACTTGCTTATGACATTCCTAACCAGTTAGATAAGCCTATTCTATTAATAAAGACAATCAATTGTGCAAAGAATTCCTTTACACATTCCACTTATGTAAATTTTGTCAATGTTTATATTATTAAATCGATCACCTGTATTGTAACGAGTGTTCTATACCTGAAAGTTAACATTTCATTTTTGTTTATCTAAACCGGAAAGTAACTCAACAGATGAGGCAATCAGATAAGACAAATTGAATTACAAGAATTTCAACTTGATCACCAATGGTATCATTTTATAACATTACTTTTTGTTTAACTGAAACAAAATTTAATAATTTCATTTGAAGTTCATGTATAACCAGTTTGCGTAAGATTTAGTGAACCTAGCGCACTCATGTCTTTTGATTTTTAGGTTCTTTTTCTCTATATACACAATTAACATTTTTACTGGATCTTTGAGCATGAGCGCAAACGATTTTTTTAAACTGTACAACCACAAAAGTAAGTACCATTTTACGTTTTAGAAGAGACTCTCTAAAAGAAACTTATTACAAAGACATCGTTGGACCTCATTTGTAAAAGAAACATGAACCAATCAAGAAACAAGTTAAAAGTTGTGAAGTTAAATAACATTCTTCACACCTTCGGTGTGAAGGTTTTAATAAGTAATGGTGTTAATATAATATGAAGGTTTTATTGTGTAATTGTGGTATTTTAGTGTGAAAGTTTTTAACAGAATGAAAGTTTAATAGTGTTGTGAAGTGTGAAGGTTTTATAGTGTGAAGGTTATTTGATTTAACGGTATAATGGTTAAACAAAAGCTTTTTTATGGTGAGACGGTTTCATGGTGTAGAGGTTAAAGGATGTGAAGGTTTTAAAGATGTGAAGGTTTTAAGGTGTAAAGATTTTATGGTGTGACGGTTTTATGGGGTTAAGGATACTTATATATCAATTTCTGTTTATAGTCATGAATCTACATTTTTTTAATGTCTTCAATTCATTCAAAAAGTTATTCGATTACATACAATGAGAAGATATCGACATAAAACAGTGCATGTCAGTTATGTAAATAATAATACCCTTAATTAAACGATTATCATGTACAACTTAAATTGTATCTATTTGTCTAAAACAAACAATGATAGGTGACAGTACATTTATGTCGATGATGTCACCAGTACAATGTACTACGAACAAAATACCTTAATCATTTCTGTTTAAAATAAACAATAAACATTCACCATGCACTTATCAAGGAACACTAATCTTTCAACAATTAAGGATGAGTATTGTTAACTGATAATGTTGATAAACTTAAGTCGTAATTTTTATTTGGTGTTGGTTATATTATTAGAAAGCAGGAGGTAGAGCATATCAGAACCAGTGGACAATGTATGATAATAGCTGAAAATCAAATGGTAACATAAGAAATGAAGCCAAAATTCTTGAAGCAAACCAACAGAAGAACTGTTGACAGACAAATAAAACGTCCTAAAGAATGTGACAGACAAACGGTGACTCAAACTGGAAGTGTAGGCTCTCTAATAGAGAAGAAAGAAAATGAAGAATTCGATGAAGATTTTCTCCAAGAACTCGACGCATGTGAAAACAGTCAAAGTGGAACCTTATTGAATCAGGAAAAATGTGGAGGCACATTACAAACCGATTCCAAAAGAACCCATTTGATGACAGCATTTGGAACTGCAACAAACTTGGATCCATTGAATGATAAAAAGTGTAATGAATCACTCGTTGAACATTATTCTGGGCCAGGTAAGGAACTTGAAAGTTCGCACGTCGGAACTGCTCTTCACAACAAGAAGAAAAACAGGAATCGTCGACAACGAAGAGGCAGGCGCAATAAGTCACCCTTTGAAAATAAAGTATCTGAAGAAGATAATGAATGCGATCCGGTTCTAGAGATGACAGGGAGAGGAAAAGTTTGTAACAAGATCGAGAACATCAATCATGCTAAAAAGGCGGCGTTGCCAAAAACAACACAACCAAGGCATGGCATTTTTAATGATTGTACAACACTTAAAGATAATGTTCCAAGAAGACAAGGTGAAACTCTTGATATCGGCAGCGAAACAGAAAATAAAAATTATGAGAGCAAAACCGAATATGTTGATGCTTCATCTAGTGATAGATATGCGAAACAAACTGACCCGGAACCAGTTCGTATTAATCTGTCAAGAATCCCTTCGGCGGAAATCCGAAACCAAATTTTAATGGAAATCTATAAAACGATGGTGCGTTCAAGAAAAGAGGTTCATTCTCTTGACGAGCTCTCTGGTATGTTTCAATCTATCAAAAGTTTTCATATTATATATGATAATATGACAGATATAACGTCTCTGCTGGAAAGAAATGAAGACAAATTTGTCATTACCTACAGTGAAATGGACGAACCTTTGTTTTCTGTCAAAACAGACATGGCAATATGCGCTATTTTCACAAATGACACGTGCCAAAGTCACATGTGTCACGATTTGCATATTTGTAAATACTTTTTACTCAGTAAGTGCTCTATAAAGAACTGCAAGTTCGGCCATAATCTTTCAACAGATCATAACAGAAAGGTGTACAGGCATTATGCTCTTGACGGCGTAGATAAGGAATCCAAATTGCGTTTGCTAAGGTACATTGAAAGTAGAAATATTTCCACGATGCCTTTGATGTGTAAATTTTTCAACAACGAAGGTGGTTGTAAAAAAAACAATAATTGCACACATCTTCACTTATGCAAGAACTATATAAATAATGATTGTAAATTCAATAAAAGGTGTAAAAGATGTCATAACATACTGGCTAAACAACCACTATCTGTGCTAAAAAGGTATGGTTTAAATCCAAATAGTTTCAACATTGACAAACTACTTAGTATATTAAAAGATACTTTGGAAAATGGAGATGTTGTTCTGAAAAGAGACATTCAGCATAACAGAGGTGTAAGAGCAGATCGACACAATAGCTTGAGTAGTATAAATGATGTACACGAATCAAGTACAAGTGATACATCATCAAGCGAGATGTCAGACTCAGATGAAGATGATGAAACTGACAACGATTGGAAGGAACAGACGTTAGAATCGTATGGATTTGTAGAGCAGGACTCATCCTTTGAACAAACTGATGGTGAACGCCAAGGAACTCCTGAGAATGACCTTTCGTTGCTGCACAAAAATGAACACATTGCAGATTGTGGTGAAAGAAGACCTTTTTGTGGGCATTCGACTTCACTTACGGGACAGAAAAAGGATTTACCCACTGGCAATGGTCATCAGGGTGACACAGAACCAATAATGACATTTGAATGTAAGTTATTTAGTAACATATCTCGGAGGTAATCAACTATTTGGTTATATGTGAACATAAAGTGATGTTTGTTATTTTTTATTTGATGTCTTATTTTGGTAATAAATGCATTTATCTATTCAAATCTAATTATAGGCACTACTAGTACGGACCCAAAATGAATTTTGCAATATAAGTAATCAGTTAAACATATTTTCAGCACAAATAGAGAAAAAGCAATTCGTGGTCCGAAAAGTGAATGGACGCTTAGTTATATGGAACAAATTAGGAAACTGGTATAATATGAATGAAGAAGATTCAGCGAGATTATTGCAGCTACATCAAAATTTCATTTCTTTCGCAGAGAAACTTGATGACCATGATGTTTAACAAAAGTTAAGTAGGTCTGCAAATTTGTAACGTATTTTCTTGGGACAACCACATGTTTATATTCTATTATACACGCCGTTTCATATAATTTAAATAATTTAAAAAGTATTCAAAACAGAGAAGAATCCTCATTGGTAAACTTATAAGACGTTTGAATTTAATATGCCTGTGTATGATCGGCTGTTTGCCTTATTGTTTAATAATAATAAATATTAAACAATCGCTACCATTAGCTAGACATCAACGTCTTTTTCATATTCCTGTGCGTTCTGGAGAATATGTTTGAAAAGATTAGTGTATGTCATTAATCAGTATGAGAGTGTATTATTGATTTATTATATTAACTGTCTGTTTTGTAGGTGGTGCAAACGATCACGAATGACGGGACCTGACTTCTTTCAGCCATTACATGATCTAAAATCAGAGAGCAAGTAACTAGCTTCTAAACTATCTTCAAAGCACTTCAAAGTGGCTTCACATAGCAAACTCATTGCAAATGTTTGAACTTATCGTAGTATAAATACAGACGGGAAAGACTTTTTTTAAATCCCATACCGAAGCATACTATATATAATAAGTATTTTGTTTAGATTAGAGATATTATTCCAGTAATATGTGATTCATCTCAGATCATGTGTTTCATAAATAAACTTATAAGTTGTAATTTTAAATCAATGTGGTTATTTGTAGTATGTATGTAGGTGAAGGGAGATAAGATTAAAACTTCCGCATTATTACATAGATACAATAAACACAACCGAAATGCACTTTATCAAATTTACATGTATGTTTAATAACAGTTTCAATATTAAGTTACCTCACGTGATAATAAGAGCTTAGATACGGCATAGAAGAACAAGAAGATGATAATCGGTTTTGCTGAACAAATTATGACCCCCGAGTGCTTCTGTCCAAAGACATTATTCATTCAGAACCGATTGTCACTTTCCAGCCGTTGAACTGTATTTATGTTTTTAAAAACAGGTTTGGGAAATACTTTTTTATACAATTTCAATCATTTGTTATATTTTTTGGAATAAGAAAGGGTTTAAATTGATTGTTTTGCCTCTATGTTGGGGTTTGTTACAGGGTTTTGTACAACTAAAAAGTGGCTAATAATTTTTTTATATTTCCCGGGAAAACATTTGTTTTTTTATTTTCTACATACACCCTTGTTATTTTATGATATTTGTATAAACAAATAAAAACAATTTAGCAGCAAATTTTGTTCCATCTTTATTACTTGATGATTTGATGACGATGATGGTGGTGGTGGTGGTGTTGGTAGCTACACGTATAACTGTAATGATTATTATGATAATAATGGAAATAAAAAAAAAATTATGATATTGTCCAGCAATATTGACCTGGCACTTCATTAACTTTCGTAAGGTCATTTGAATAAACACTGGCCAGTATCTATCGAATATATCGATATATTTGCTAACTTCACTCGTCGGTCAGGTGTGGTGTATTGGTATAGATGTCGGACTACCGATCTGAACGTCTGTGGTTCGAATCTTTTCCAACATCACGTGATTCTTTTTAAATTTACTTGCCAGAATTAATTTGAAATCGTGTTACTACAACTGGTTTTAGAATACCCTTTAAAGGATGTTTTTATACACAACTATATTTTGTTATTTCATTACAGAATCGTTCAACAGAATTCTTTGTGACATTATGCAATCTTATAATTATGCTTTACCTCACACACGCTATAATCATTACTATTTCCTTATACTACGTTTTACTTACTGAAGTAAAACGACAATATTCTTTCACTTTCGATACAATAGAAGCTTCATTTATGAGAAACGAAGCGAATTATACATATATATTGAATCTTTATAAAATGTATATAATCGCTTTTTTATTTCTTCAATTGCTTATTCTTCTCATTTAAATATTAAAACCGAAATGAAATTGATATATTATATCATTTTATATCATTCGATATCAAATCTTATCAGCATTTATCTAAATCACAGTAGTCCTTACGGTATCACTCTAACATTCGTTTGGGTAGTTTATAAACGGACCAGAGACATTTGAATATTTTTTACTAATTAAACACGCAATATTTTTAAGGTTTTCAAACATTTGGTAGTGGGAATGTTGTGTGTGTGTGAGGAAGGGAAGGGGACAGGGACTAAGGGTGGTTTTAGACTATACGGTGGCTAATCTGCATTAGAGATCCTGTATGTTGTAATTGAGGTTGTTACCACATTTAAGTGAAATCTTATATATGTGTATAATTATGCTTCTAAGACAATTTTCAAACATCGAAGAATATATAAAATATGTACTGCAAATGTTTGTTCACATGTTATTTAATCATTAAAATATACATTTTGTATTCATTATATTTAATCATTAAAAATATGCATTCATTCCTTATTGAAAAACTTAGACTTTATAGAAAATAAATTTCTAATTACCTCCCTTTATTTTCATGAAATGTTAAATTCGGTAATATCTTTATAAATAATGCTTTTTGGAACTTACAATTTTGATAAATCTTAATTTGAGCATCATATTTATAATATAAAACCATACAAAATTGTGTTACAGGATCTTTAACTATTGCATCAGACTTACGTTATGCATTTATGATCGTTGCATACGCCCACACCAGAATATGACAAGACTATAGTAATACATAAGTAAAGATTTTTATATTATCATGCCAAACATTCAAAATGAATTATAATCTCTGAAAGAAAGATCAACTGTTAACCAGGCCAAGTTCGAAATACCAAGGATTGGTTTAACAAATATACAATGTCATGTACTCTATATCTGTTTTCAAATATAAATTACTGTTTTCCGAAAATCAAAGAGACATGTATACGTTTTATCAAATATAATGAATAACCTTCAGTTAAGTAGACTTCGAATAATCGATAGACGTTACCTCGGCTGAGATATTGTTCCCATTTTTTGAAAAAAAATCTTTAGCCTTTAGTATTAGCTTACCTTATCTGATATTCGATATCTTAATATCTGAAACGGAATTCCCGATGTAATTTCCCGGGAAACAAGCTAAAAATAATTCCTACTTCATGCAAAGGAGAAAGAATTTACTTTCCGCCATATTTCCCGAATTACTGGTATGTCATATTTTTATTTACTATTACATCTTTTTATTAAAAACAATATTAAATTTCTTCGTTTTCATTAATTTCTAATTTACTCACTGAATTTTAAATACATGCATTTATTTGGTACAAGTGCACTGTATTAGGATGATAATCTTTTCTTACAATAGATTGTTGTAACAAGTCGATTGAAAGGAAAATAATTTATTTAAATCTACTTAAAAATTGTTGTTGTTGTTTTTTATTTATATTCTCCAATATTTATATTTGAATGAATCATATCAATAATTTTAATTTATTAATTGTATGTGATACATATAATGTATATAAAGGGATTTCATGCAAAACGAATACTCATTAAGAAACAATACGAAACCGAAAGTAAATTTAAGTCTGAAATATAAAAAATAATACCAACGTTGTTAGCATCAATACATTTTTTAAATATTTTACAGATGTATTTTGAAAAATAACTAGAAATTAGAAAAGCACAAACGAAATCGACTATATAAAGTGTAATAAAACATTCGCAGAAATTTTGAAAGACAGAAAGGAACTTCAAGGATTATTATAATATAGACAAATACTTACTTCAGGGATTGAAATGGGTTTTAAACGACGTCCGAGTAGTAGACGTGTTGGCACTGAAACGGAAAACGATTACTCGAGAGATCAACGGCGAGGAATCGTAATACCACATAGAAGGGAACGCATGAGGAAGTCATCTTCACCAGACCTTACCCCTGAAATGACCTCTTACACACGTCGTCGAAATCGAAATGATGATCATGATATGTGGGAGGCGTGGTTTATGAGTTCTCGGGATCGTTCCTCTATTGCTGATACATTTGATGAAGTATATTCAGGAGAGATCATCGATTGTATCTAGAGTTCTTCTTTTCCCCGGTCGTATCGCATCCTTTATCCGCAAAGGAACTATAGGACAGTTTTAGAAGATATGGTATTCCGAGGAGAAGCCCGATTCGCATAGCTTTATCCTTGAGACCATGATGTAGACCGTAAGACCAATTATGTAAGGATTGTGAAAGGATTTGATCAAAGAGAGCTTTTACGTAAGAGGAAGAGGTTACTTCAATAAAAAAAAAAAAGAGCTTGGATTTGCTGAGCAAAGAAGAAAACACAAGACAACAGATAAAAGAAACCTGTCATGGACGTCCGGGAAATTTTCTAACAGTGCGAAGACTTCGCGCGTTCCACTTTCGATTTGTAAGTTTTACAACAACGAAGGAACTTGCAAACGAGGCCAATCATGTGACTACTTACACGTATGTAAATACTTTATAAATAATGATTGTAAGTTTGGAAATGGCTGTATGCGGTCACATAATGTCCTAGACGTGCAACCAAGGTCAATCCTCACAAAATACGGAATAGTTCCTGATTATTACGATAGCAGAGACCATTTTGATAGAGGGGAAGCAACACGATTGGTAAAGGAAAAGCTTGACAGTCAGGATGCAAAACCGCAAATCGATATATCAAGGAAAATGTATTCGGAAGAAACTCAAAATGCAAAGGTACGACCATTTTTAACGCATGGAAAATCTATTTTTAACATCGTTTCTGACATTGGGAATACGTCCGACATGGATAGTGGGGACAGTATGGATAACAATAACAAATCTATAATTTCCTCAATATCGAAATCTTTTAACGGAACATCAAAGCATGACACAGATGAACCCCATCAGACATTTACTGAAGAAGATTATATTCCTCTCGAACGTAAACCAGTTGTTGAGTCTAAGACTGCACCTGTCATAAAAAAGAAAAGACTTAAACAGAAAAGGAAATCTAAATTGCAAACACATATTGACATTAAACAAGACTCGACATTGGCTAAGATACAAGACAATGTTAAAGTTCTTGGCCAATTCCAGGCTAAAATCACGGTTGAAAGTAAGTAAATTATTATTAGGTGTACATTCCTATAGTACTATTCTGATTTATAATGAAGAAATTCACACATGCTTTATTTTACAAAGCATAATTATAAACTCTGTTGAATGCTCGAATAACAATTATGCATGATCAAACAGTTTCTCCTAGCTCAGCTATGAAGGATATCAGTATTATTTTATAGCGTGTTGTAAGTGCAGTTTCAAACAAATGTTTATACCCGGTTATCTGTCAAAATTATATATTGAATATCTAATACATACTTTTTGTATCTGATTATATGTATTCATTTATATGCAGCAACCTGTTATGCATGCAAATATTTTATAAACCGTACAATTGCCAATGAAAATTGACTTTACAAAAGTGCAGTACTTTAAAGTTAACTTAAATTACATACAGAGCTGTAATTCAGTTTCAGGCCAGTCCGGGAAGTTTCAAGTACGAAAAGATAATGATCACTGGGAGATTTCTACCATAAGTGGTGAATGGTCAAATTTACCTGAAGATAGTAACAGAGAGATGGAAGATGTGTATTGCAAAGTTATTGAGATCAAGGATAAAGTTGATGGACAGATGAAAGAACAAAAGCTATGTAATATTTCATTTTAATTTTTGATTTAACGAATTTACATGTAAAGTCACAGCTGAAGAGATGAACGATATCCGTCAAAGCCTCTTTCAACTCCAACATTCCTCATCATTAACATACAAGATTATGAGGTTATTGCACATTGTTGTACAATACTGAATTCTATTGAACTCGTACACAGCTGTTAAACCTCGGCGCTAGCCGAGTTTGATATAGGTTTTGAAGCTGTGTACGTATCCAATAGAACCAGTTGTTTTCTCAAACATGTTTAATGACCTCTTTATTTCACACCACTATCTTTGACATGTTGACAGAACTTTGTTATTTCAATTACATTAAGGATTTGAAATAGATTGTTGGTTCTCATAAAATGAAAGCGAGACTATTTGGGGTGTGATATGGAATTGATATGAACCTTTTGGTCTCTGGAAATGTAAACGAGGCTAAATTGATAAGATTTGATCCAATGATGATTTCTATTGGTGCATCACGTGCTGAACACGTGCATTAATTATATCTTATAAGATGTGAAATAAATCATTTTTTATCGTCTTCTTTTTTAGATATAAAAATTTATATATGATAATAACAATGTTTAATTATTTTGAAGGCAAAGACCATTTAAAGATATATGAAAAAATATTAAATATTGCATGTAAACAAACAAGCATATTTTATATCTTTCAGAGATATTGAAGGTAACTGTCTAGATAGAAGAGTTTAACAAAGAAGGAGACACCTACCGGGGTATAATAACTACTTGTACATAAAATGAACTACGAAAAAAAATGACAGTATGATAGCGCATTTTTGTGTGTGATTTTTTAGGGGTGGTGACAGAATTTTGAATCATTTCTACGTTTTATTTTGTAATTGTTAGTTCTGCACATCTTCATTTCGTTTATCATTGGCATAAATATTTTATTCTTTATCTAATAAGAAAAAATGAACATGAAAAGTTTTATCCGACCAAACAACAAGAATATCAAGTATAATAAAGAAATTCAATGGATTGGGTAACTCTAACAATGGTGAATACCTCTTAATTTGCATTGTACAGTGGATATTTGGCACACTTTGCGTTTTAAACCGATTACAGAACAGAAATATTCGTACATACAATTGCAATTAACAAACTAACGGTATATTCTTTTGTTGATACTATATGCTGCAGTGAGATAAATTTATATAGAAAACTAAACGGTATTATATAATACAACAAAAATAATTTATGAACACAAAATAGTTGCATAAATTCGCAAACAATATATATTAAACACATCTTCGCGTTTGTTACTCCGGTTTCATTGAGGAATCATGACGTTTATATTGTTTCTATTATTTGTCAAGTCTTTCTATTAACTATTAATATATGTTTTTATTTAAACAAAGTGACGAGTTGCTAACGATTTAACATTCATCTCAATTCAAGCCACACTTATATGGGAATCTCTTAGAATTCAATATATACTCGTGAAATGTTTAGACTTTGAGGATATGAAGCAGAACATTTTCAAAACAGCTCATACACAATAGTGAATGTTGAATCAAATTCTAAAGAAAAGTGCTTTTGAAAAAGACCGGTTATTGAAGAAAAAAAGAGGACTACAACGGAGATAATAGGACTGGAGAATTTATGTAACATATACCAGAATCCTGGAATAAAGAATGATCTGAGCAAATCGTGTTTGTTTGTTTCTTTCTTTCTTAAATATCCTCGAAATACTATTCCTATATCAATTATTTATATTTTACGTATTGTAATTTACTGTTCAAATGAAAACAAGTTCTTTTATCAGAAAGGCAATGAAAGAAAATATTTCAGGTTTTATAGGCGTTTCCTTTAAAACTTGTTATTTTATCACAAATTCAAAGAACTATCTGACAAGAAGATCAGGGTATTCTGTGTCCAGACATAATTGTTGATTATAATGATCATGATGGCACTTTTGGATCAATATCACGTATATTTGTTATAGAGACTTAATTGTCCCTAGTAACGCCTACACCGGTTTATGTACGGATATATGATGATGTGGATATTATAAGACTCAAAGCCTGTTTTTAATTGAATGAAAACAACAACCTTTTTGAACAGTTCTAAGGAGACCTGTGCCAGATTATAATGTGAAATTGGTATATACTATATAATAAATGTCATATACAGGTTATTCACCGACATTTCAAAAAAGGGTCTTGGCGGCAACAGACTATGTGTCTAAATAAATATACAACGTATATGTGGTATCCGACAAAGTTAAGACCCTTTGACTTTTCGCAAGATAGAGAAGCAAACACTACATAATTATGCGTTGATTATAAATGCTTTTGCAAGTCCTAGGAGTCTTTGCAAGTAAATTCAACTTGATAATAAAACGTTGCAAAATCAACAATTTGAAAGTAGTTTCCATTCATCAATATTAATAATATACTATGCTCATATTTTGGTAAAATACTTTTATTACAGAAATGTACTGAAATCTAGTACATGAAAATACTTTCTGAATATGTCTTTTTTGAATAAGTAAATGTATTTACTATGTTTGGGAAGCTATAATCCCTATTACTTGTCAAATTATTTTGGTCTATTCTTATAAAAACTGAAAGGTTTTGTTTTTTCCATGACACTATGTAATAATACTATGATTACCCGCAGTATTTAGTGCTCGCCAATTTTTAAAAGCCAATCACCGACGAGGATTTTTCAAATTTTCAGGTTTCAAATCTTAATAGAACATATTTTATATAAACTGGACGTTTTATATTATAAAACGCAAGTAGGCGGAGCTAAGTTTCGAAGAGCGCTAAAGTGAAATATACGCATGTGCAGAGATCTTGAAGTTTACTCCTACTAATCAATATTTATGCATCATGTTTTTTTCCGTACACGCACATGTATATCGTCACTACAGCATAGAATTAAAAAAAAGAGGTTCATTGAAATAAAAACAGCAAAATAACAGTAAAAATGATTCATTACTTACGGAACCAGTATCATTTTATAATTTCCAAATAAAAAGTTCACTTATTCCAACAAAGTATGTATGTAATATTTCTTACTTTTTAAGTAAAGATTGCAGCCCGTGCCGTTGCAAAACCGAAAGTGGGGTGTTTTTATTAATTTTACTTTTATTTTTGACAATATACTGCCATTTGTCCAAAGATGATATGTATATGAACATAATAAATATGTATGATGCATATATAATCAAGCTACAGGTTCATTTCAGCCCGAAAAATATGTCAAGGTGACGGGCGAAGCAAGACATGTCGACTTTTTGTAGCTTATTGTAAAGTTGCAGTACATGAAAATCGGGCACATGACAAATCAGCACATAAATAAAACATTCAAGTGTTCCGTGGTATACATCTTTTTTACGTGTCATACCTCCTTTCCTTATTACAATGAATTTTTACTGCATTGTTATCCATCGCTGGTTTGTTTTTAGCAAAGAATGACCTGCACGTATGTTCAAAGTGTGTACCGTTTGAGAATATTTCGCAAAGAGGGTACCGATATGGATATGCACCGTGATATTGTCTGATTTACTTAGACAGAATGCGGGAATAAGCTATGCAAAACACGTGACCCGAAATATGTACCGCTACCTCTTTCAAATATGGTTGTACACATTTAGGCAATCGTGTGACGTCACGCAGTGTGTTTGGCGGAAAAAATTGGCGGAGCACTAAGCCGGTTAGAGTGCATATTGGATGTTCTTCGTAAATAAGAAAGCTACAGTCGCTTCGCAAGCTCCGCTCCTTTTTAGCTTTCTTATTTACGAAGAACACCCAATATGCACTCCAACCTATACATAAAGTTTGAACCGTAACGTATTTTCTCTGTGTTTTTCAAAAGATGTTTATTTTTCATTTCAAAAGAGACTGTAAAGTAATTATAAGTGTTTTTAAATATCAAATTTGAGCATATTATATATTTAAGTATATAGAATAAATACACTAAGGTACATGGTCAATGGACCATTTTAGGCGTATGGCCGTGTCCTTGTGTTTAGCTCTTCTGGAATAAGCTTTGATATTGATATTTTATTGTCATAGCAAAACATCCACCCTTGCTAAGGCTAAAAAAGTCCGGTATTATAACATCTTTATCAATTCATTACGTTGAATTATGCCAATAGTGCTAACTACACATTAAAACTCAGGAATTAATATTTTTTCTTCTGCAAAATGTGCTTAAAAATGTTGTGATCATGGATTAAGAACAAGAAGAAAATAGCGTTGAAATGATTTGTGATACAAGAAGCAAAATGAAAACAAAGTGGTAATTTGAAATACTAAATCACTGTTAGTAATTGCCAAAACGCAAAAAGAAGCAAAGAATGGATTACGTGTATGGTCAAAGAATATCTTCATAAAAATTGGCAATGGTTTATAGTTAGACAACTGATAAGCAATGTATTGAATAAGGAGATGACTGGAAAGTTATATTCATATATATGTAAAGCCGCGACTTATGACTGTCGTCCATAAAACCGAGCATGCATTTTTGTTTGAACCGTTTTTGGGGTTCTTTAATGTGCGTAAAGCACGGTCATTGCAAAACAATTAAAATCCTTCTTAAAATAGCATTATAATATTATAACAATGGTAAAGTTAACAAAAATATTTCATAAGAGCTAGCTGTATACCCTTTATCTATTTTATATACATCATGCTTGTTTAGTAACTAGTACAAGTGTTACTGTTGATAAAGTTAACAAATATTTCATAAGATACAACTTAATACCCTTTATCTATTACATGTATATAAACATAATGTTTGTTTAGTGACCAGTATTATCACCGGTGTTAGCGTGTGCTTTGTGTTGCACCCCGAATCCCAAAATATATGATAAACAAAATCAACAAGGAAATGCGACGTTCAATGAACGCAACCCCCACACGACCAAGCAAGAAAAACCAGTGCCAAGGAGCCCAGGAGGACTCCAAACTAAAACAGGGACAGGCTAATCTCTAAAAGATACATAAGAAATAATAGTAACCGTCAAGAAAATCAAAGGAAACAAATAAATGATTGATTTATTTACCCAATAAGTAAAGGAGACAGAGGAAGGGGATAGAAGACTCAGGAAGGGGGAGGGGGAGTGCATCACACGCAGGAACCTCTACAGTGTAGCTGAGGAAAGAGGGTGCGGAAATGTATCTGATGGACCTCTCTGTCTCTCTCTGTCTGTCTCTCTCTTACTCTTATTTATAATATTCATAGTGACTTAGACAGAATGAGAATAATCAGGTTTATGTTAGATTCTTCTATATATCGGTTTTATAGCCGTAGCTAAGTATATGGAACTTTAGCGTGGCATTTTTGTGCACTACATTATAATGATATACATGTATACAAATTGTATTCGCTCTAAGAATATCAGCTAAAGAAAAATCAATAAGCATGATCGTCATTAGTTTATTTTTGTATCATGCATAATTATATACAAACCTTTTTATTCATGGACCACATACTAGGTTTTTATCAGTGTATACAAGAGCGAATTCAAGTGTTTTTTTTTCTTCTTCGAAAACCGGATTTGACACAAATTCAATATCTTTATATTATCACTTGAACAAACATATGCGATGCAATTGTTTTCTTTTATTTTTTCTGGCTAAACAATGCATACTACTGAAAGACGCTTTAATTTCAGTGTAAAATTTACAGATAATTAACAGGAAAAATTGCGTATTGACACATTTCAAATATATCACGTTTGTATATCATTTAGCCAATGACTTGATTTCATATTTTATTATGCAACGATCATTTTCGGGAAACCAATAAGAAAGGATTAGTTTAAATACCAGAGATCAAAGCTGTAATACGTTTTTGAAAATAAATACTGTCAAGTTCTAAAAATAACGCAAGTATATCATTTAAATTTATCGATATGTAGATAAACCAAGTGTTTACTGAAAACGTTGATAAATCAGTTATTTGGCGATTGGGACGTTAAATCAATTGTATTATACAAGTAAGTGTTTATTTTAAATATCTATAGTAATAATCACATCGAAAGAAAGGTTTAATTATGGTAATATGTTTTTTCTTGTTGTTGTTTTGTTTGTTTTGATAAGATTTTAAGAATATTATTTGTAATAAACTCAGTTCTGATTTATTTTAGATCGATTATTATGAAAGCTGAAGTTTCTTTTGAGCATGCATCAAGTTAGTAATGCTCATGATCACTGGGTATTAGAGGAAGATTATAGCCAAGTTTATCTGCATAAAATATTTCTGACAAATTTATTAATAAAACTTTTGAATTAACAATAAACTAATAAATGATTTTTAAGGAATGACCCCCAGTTGGGCACTATAAGGAATTATAAAACATTGATAACAAATGTCAGTTTTATGCCTTTTATGCCTTAATTGGCACATGTATGAAAAATTTGAACAACATTGAACGTACTATTACCAAAATGAAGGGCTGTTTTAAGCGTATGTGAATTTCCCCTAAGTATAATAATTGATATTGTCATGTACCATACATGTTATAATATTGATCATTATTTAGCAAATACCTATAATAATTACAAATTTAGATTAAGTATTTTTCTTCCCAATAGGGATCTGGGAGATACAAAAATAATATTAAAAGAATCAAACGAAAGAGAAAAATGTCCTTCTAGGGTTTGAACTTTCACTTTCAATGCAGTTGAAAGTAATTGAAGCCTATTCAAATTTTCTTCCACGCGGAGGTTATGCATTAGGAGGGTTACACCTTAATACACTCAATGTCTGTATCATTCTACTTAGAAGACAGTCGTGTTAATTTAAACCATTAACCACATTTGGTATGCGGATGTATATTAAATTTCTGCTCTTTTTTTACCGGAAAATATCAAGTTGTAGTACACTTGGGGTTTAATTCATATACTGCTGCGGATTGTTTGCGTCCGCGCCGAAGCGCGGCGCCCCTTTATGGATGTGAAAGGGCGACAGCAACTTCTCGAGCCTTTTAGTCGGTCATAATAAAAGCCGATCATTCCGATCGGTATGAGGGTGCTTGATTATTATTAATTAAAAATGAAATGTTGCGATATGTACAATGAATAGCGAACTGGAGGATTTCCCAATGCAAACATTTTCAAATGCAATAACCTTTTCCGTCTCTTCGGTTTTTTTATTTATCATTTTGTAGTACACAGTGGGTTATCATGGTATGTTAAAATAGAATGATGATGAGTTGATGACCTAAATATTCCGAAAATCTATTTATAGATGGATGTACTCCTATCGGTAATTCCGGTCTCTCCCGGTCTATTTTGACCGGGATACTAGTGACCGCACGTTTATTGTCCGGTCTCTCCCGGTTTTGGAGTAGATGTTTGATATCGTTACAGAACAGAACAAATATTTTACAGATAAATAAGCTTTTTTCCAAAATGAATGTTTGTCACTTAGTTTGGTTACAATAATTAATAAACATATATCAACTCTCAAATTTATTGATTATTATTATACATAAACATACAATTCGAGAAAAAAACCCAACAACAACAACAATAGCATGTTTCATTTTATCTATATGAGATAAAAACAATTAATATGTACAATAATTGTGAAAAAATGTACATTTTTATGGTTTTAATATGACAATATCAACTTTGAAACATTTTATTTAATTTGTTATTCTTGTTTAGTAAAGATGCCGAGGAATTATTCAAAGTTACAAATTAGATTTTATTAATTATTTAATTGATTGATAATTTAAAAAATGATAAAGAAAAATACAAATGTACATGTACATGGTTTAAGAATAAACAATATTATATATTGAAAGATTAACCATAATTTACTGACTATTTCCAGTTAAGTTTTGACTTATAATCGTCGGTCAATATGACAATTGAATTCTTAAAATTCATTTTACAATTTTAATAAAAAAAAAAATAGAGTAGTAAACGTAAAAAACTCAGTATCAAAATAGCACATAAAAACACAAAAAAAGAGAGGAAAACAATATTCATAAAATCTGTATTTTTGTTATTAAAATAGATATTACAATTATTGTATAATAAACAATAATGCTCAACATGACATGGTAATATAACCAGTGTCATATTTTTACTAAGTGTGAACAGATACCTTAAGAGGGGGTCTTCGCTAATAGCGATTACATAATAAGGGACAATTCCACAAGTGTGGTGTTGATCATGCGTGCAATAACGGCATGCTACCGGAGTCGCCTCTGAGTCGTAATAAATCTATTGTCAAAACAATGTACTGATTACTATTTACTATTTACAAAATCTAAAAAAGATGAATTAATGGTACAAATTACAGAAAAGATCCGAATGCACATATGGATTATAAATGATTGTATACATGTATATCCGTTGCTATTAATAATCACGATCATAAAGAAATAACAAGTGATATTCTAATCTCTAGCATGCCAATCAAAGTTCATAATGAACAAAGTCTTCCGTCCGTTCATTCTGGTAAAAACGTATTAACCATTGAAAAGTTTATAAGAATATCTTGAAATCATATGTCTACTAGTTCATCTTCACTTTCTGCATTTCTTGCTTGGACGCCCTTTGATGCTTTGCATCAATGCTTTTCTTGTAAACTTATTGTTTCTAATATGATTCAAAGGACTGCAGATTACCTAGAATGCATGAAATTGGCCAAAAGCGAGTGGACATGCCTGCTTGAAAGCATTGCTAAACCTACTAACAATATATAATCAGATATAGCTTTATACACTTTAAATGATTGAAATAATTAGGTGTACAATGGTTGGTGTAATTGTATAGGAATATTTATGAGCATCATTTCTTTTATCTAATATTTTATTTGTGATATGGGTATTTATACATGTAATCAAACTTATCAAATCATTCGTTTATTAACAATAGGGAAATTGTTTTTTATCAGTAATAGGGTTACGTTTTTATCAATAAGCGAATCAATGTTCGATATGCATTTTATTTTGTTAATGTATGTAAACATGTATATTTATACTGATTGACTTACAGGTATATTTATGCATTTTCCTATAATTATTTTACAAACAGTGCAGTTCAATCACATAAATAATAGCACCTTTTTTCGGTTGGGTTTTACGTCACATCAACACAATATAGATCATATGGCGACTTTCTGGTTAACTGATGTAGGAAGACCTCTTAAGATCGTTTTCTTCTTTAACTAGTTTATGGTTTACATTCGGATCTTTTCTGTAATTTGTACCATTAATTCATCTTTTTTAGATTTTGTAAATAGTAAATAGTAATCAGTACATTGTTTTGACAATAGATTTATTACCACTCAGAGGCGACTCCGGTAGCATGCCATTATTGCAATACATAATCCAGTTAAAGGAAAAATTAACAAAATCATTTTGATGTATTCCATATTCCATATTATAAATATAGTGCTCATATTCTTAGGATTAAAACTATGATTTGAAGTAATAAGGAACGCTTGTATTAATTTAGGGTGTTGGCAGGAAACGAGAGAATGAATGCTGAAGGAATCAGGAATAACAGTGACGAAACGCCAGAGAGTAAAAACAACACAGAGAAAGTCAGTGGTGACGAATTCCTTGAAGTGAAAACGGGTACTATATATTTAGTTATAAAAAGAATAGACTATAATCTTTTAGAAGAAGGGAACATACATATTAATGGTGATGCCTGGTTTTACTTTATATTCAAAATTGTACAAATTTCATATATGTATTAGTTATTGTTCTGAATTGTGAGATTCAGATCATTTTCGCTTTTTTGTTTTATATCTTATACCTCCACAACCAATTTTTTTTGCAAACAAATAATAATTTTCATACATAAACAGTTTATTTTACATGGAACAAAAACGATTATTACAAAAAAAACAACAAAAAACAATTTCATTTCACTTAACTCTTACATGATTTTTACAGAAATGTTAAGTGATAGAATTTTACGGTACGACAGAGACTTCCTTCTACAGTTTGAACAAGACAAAGGTGTATCTACAATGCCTATAACTCTACCAGTAATACCTGATATATTCCCAAATAAAAGTACTAAGGTAATACTAGATTGAAAATCATAAAGTTTTCAATTTTGAATTCTCAGAATAGATATCTAAGTTGCCTTTGTTGCATAAATATCTTAATCAACAAATAATTGTATATTATAAATGCAAGGTAAATGTATTTATCGAAACAAATCTGAATTGTTTTTAAAATGAAATCAAAATATTTACTTAGAGACATATATATATTTCAATATACCAAACTGATAAAAGAACAGTCAAACAGCCTTTGAAATATGAATCCACTTTTTGTATTGCGCAATATTATATAAAAATATCTATCTTTTTGAAATACGAAACCCTTAGCGCACAAAACATTTTATTGCATTTCGTAAAATACCGATCGTAAGTTATCATGATTTCTACGTATTTTAATTAATAGGTTTTTAGATTCTTTTAAGTTATTATATGAAATTTTGCTTAAAGTGTAAATCGCAAAATTGATTTTTATTCTACAAGAAGTAGGCGTGTCATTTAAAATTCCAACACAAAATTAGAAAACACAGAGCTTTCTTGAATGTCAGCATAATTATTATATATGTGAATGCCAGGTTATTCCTGTTTTAGCATATAAATGTTCATTATGTGTAATACGGGTAAGACGATTTGCCTCAATATTATGTATAGCGTTATGTAACGCATGACTAACGTTGCTCTCTATTTATGTTTTACAGTGGAAAAAATCAAAATTACAAACAAATTTGTTGGTTCTAGCCCGATTTTCATTATGCTTGGACTTAAATTGTTTTGCTCTTTTGTCTTTGATGCTCTTCATATTTGTTTCTATTTCAATTATCCAAGATCATGTGCTTACATGAAAATACCTATACTGTTTTTAAAATTCAGCAGACTAAATATAAGCATTGCAGAGACAAAGAGTCGAGACAGAAAATTATAGAGCATGATATGGAAAGAGAAACGTTTGATGATACAGAAGATACGTCATTTTCGGGACGACATTCGAGCTCGACAGAATCGGAGAATCAGGGACCGGCAGACACATTCGAGTACAACGATACCTGCTATATTGTTGTCGACTTCGATGGAATAAATGATGATTCCATTGAAGATAATAAGACTCCTATAGAAACTCTACCCTCAAATACTGGAGCGTTGTCTGAGTATGAATCGGAGGGAAATGATAAAGATAAGAAAGCAAAAGAACACTATATGACGAGTGACCATAGGAAAGATAGGAAGAGATATTCTGAAACTAATAACGCGAAGCTAGAATCCCATCATAAACGTAGACGGTCATCATCACATGGACATGATGAAAGCGACAGAATTAAATCCTCTTCAAATAGCAGAAGCCATAACTTTAGTTATAGACATAAGAGGAATGCTAGTATCAGAAAACAAAAACGTTTCATAGATAGGCACTATGAGAAGTCACCAGGATATAAAAGTAAGGTTGATTTACATGATGCTTTTCAGAGCATGTCACATTATAGGTGTGAAGTTGTTGGCGAAAAGCGCATCACACAAGGCCAAGGTAGTTATAAAGGAAAGGAAGATGTCAACAATAAGCAATCAGAACACATTCGTCCAATTCTATATGAAAATGGAGTATGTATAAAACCTGAGTCAGATGACGCTAGAAATGAAGTGCAAGATCTACAGTTATCACCAGTGAGTGAGCGGGCTTTGTCACCATACGCTGACTTTACAGGATTCTTTAATAATGAAGAAAAGCATACAAATGGTTTAAAAACTGAAAGAAATTGTCTTAATGAAGTTAAATATCTCCAAAATAAAGAAACTGAGATTGGAAGCACACGAAATGAACAGTGCGAGAACGGAAATAATCTTACTACAGGACAAAACCCACCGACCAATTATGAAAATAATAACTTTTTAAAAAACGCACCTATACCTTACAGTGTAACCCCGTATGGTTACAACAACATTCAACAGGCGTACTGCAGGATGCCGTTTCAAACACAACCTGTCTTCCAATACAGAAATCCAGCTCCTATATACCCAGTTCCAAATGCTTATTGTGTGTCACCCTTTGTTCCGAATATCCAAGATCCAAATAGAAGCAATAGCTACAGCAATTTTAAAGGCAGGGGTCAACAAAATCAAAATAATATTGTGATAAAGGAACCAACATCAGTTCAATGTGGCAAAAACGAGTATTACTGGATATCGCCTGAAACCGTGGATTCACTACCATTAAAAGTAAAGAAGAAGATAGTTTCCACCGTGTACCGAGTAATGGTTGAGGGAGAAGATTTGGAATTTTCTCCTGTTAACATTTTGAGTATGATGAAACAAAGTAGCCCAGTTAAAGTTGGGTTTGCCACGGAGGATACATTGCTTGATCTTTTGAAACGCAATGAAGATAAATTCTTATTTCAGAAACGTACGCATATGATATCGCCTAAAACAAATATCAACCTTTGTCCCACATTCACAAATAACCCTTATAGTAAGCACGAATGTATGGATTTACATATATGTAAATATCACCTCCTTGGATGTTGCACAGTGGAGAAGTGCAAATTCAGTCACAAGCTGAACTCCAATCACAACGTTAAAGTACTTAAATCTTATGACCTTTGGAAAATCGATGAGAGGCATATTAAAAGATTACTGCAGAATCTAAACAATAGAAACATTTCAACTACACCACTTGTGTGCAAGTTTTACAATAATGAAGGAGGTTGTCAAAAGGGAGAATTTTGTATGCATTTACATGTTTGTACACATTTCATCAATGATGATTGTATGTTTCAATCAAAATGCAAAAGATTGCATGATCTTAATAACCAACAGGTGAGGAATGTCCTAGAAAAACATGGGATATTTCCAGAGAAATCAAACTTTGACAAAATTCGAAACCTGATTAAAGCAACATTGGCTGACGGAGGAGTTAAACTGAAAAGGGAGCTTTCAACATACCAAAAATCTAAAGAAGAAAAAGTCATAAATAGTAAAACAATCAACCATTGTTCAACTTTACCAAAGATTCGTTCATCAGGAACATATGAGAATTCAAAATTATCAAAAGACATACGAATCAATAGTAAAAACAAAAATATAGATATGCAAGACACAGGGTCAATCTGCTCGGACAAACTCCCTCAAAAACCAAAAGACACAATACAGTCAAAGGGTTCTGAATTTGAGATGAGTTCATTGCCAGATTTCATATCTTTAGACACTTCGGAAAACGATGTTGTCATGTCAAGTTGCTCTAAAACTAACGTATCAGAATCTTCAATGAAGGGAGTAATAGGTACGTCTGGAGATGATCTAGAGCTAATGGAAAATATGTCGGAAAACGATCAATTTAGAATTACAGACACAAGTTCATCAAATAGAACAAAAATCAAAACATCATCTTCTGGAAAACCAATTTTACCCAAATGGAAATCATTGAATCACAGGACCGAAGATAACACTGTAGTTGATACAAATAAAATAACTGACAAAGATTCTATTGAGAAGGCAATAGATGACATTATTCAAAGTGAGGCTGATTCTGATAAAGAATCAGTAGAAAGCAAACAGAAAAATAACAATTCCAATTTGAATATGAATTCAGACGAGGAAAAAACAGACGAAACAAACAACCTCCAACAACTTGACATTAAAATTATTGAATCTACTAATGGTAATACAGAGTATTGTAAACTGGTCGATAACGAGTTGCAGACCAATCCAATGACTCAATGTAAAGCATCGCTAGATATTAAATTTGAAAGTACGTAAATATTTTTCTCATTTGAAATTAACTTTAATGTAGCATATTTTATTTGTACTTAACAATATTCGTTCCTACAATTAATACAGCAATCTAAGTAACATTAAAATATAATTATGTCAGAAGTGAAAAAGAAATGTGTTTATATCAAAATAATAGTTAATAGAAACGAGTTATGAATGCTTTTTTGTACAAAATATTAGTCTTTACTTAATATACACCTTTTATTTAAAGTGAAAATAAATTGAAAAATGTTTAATTATTGCATTTTAATTTTTATCGGTTTCAATAATTGTAGTTACAAGTGGAACAGCTGGGGGATATCGTGTAAGAAAAAATGGTGACAGCTGGCAAATGCAGGTAAAAACAAAAATTGGGACGGACAATGAAGTAACGGATGTACATGGAGAGCAAATTTGGAAAAACATGCAAGAAGACGAATCAGAAAGGCTGAACAATATATATTCTATTTTCAATGATGTGATTGAAACTATAGAAAATAAAAAGCTATATGGGGAGAAAGATATTGCGCTGTACAGCGATGAAAAATTATAAGTAAGGACCTTTATTGATAGCTAAGGGAGCATGCATTTTGTAATCTTTATTCCATGTTTCCATGCCTTGTCTACTTTAGGGCATCTTGTTTTGATTTGTTTAAACACTTTTATAATGTCTTATTAAATTGTCTTTGGCTAAATTCAAAAGTATACTGTCTAATATCATTTGAAGTAGCCCTCACGTGGAAGGGAAGTGAAAGGCAATTTAAATACCAACGTTGCATTTAAAGATAGATATGTTAGTCATCCATTTAATTATTCATCCAACATTCCAAATATATTTGCATTATTTGCTATATAAATGATGAGCATAGGTGACATTGCATTGCCTATTAATAAGTGTTTAAAATAGTGTTCAATATTCTTATATTGTAACTGCAACCAATATTTACTTATTTGCATCGATGTTAAGTATATTTAACAACTTGCTAAAAAAATCGAAACATTACCAAAACTATTAGCTTCTTATCTATTTGGTTCTACAGGTACAAAGATATATCAGCATAATTAAACTGTCCAAAGAACCGCTTATAATTATTTCAGGGTTTTTTTAAAAATCATATACTAACATAATTATTTTCTTCCCTATAATAATATCAGAATTAGAATAATTTGTGATAAATGCAATGGACGTTTGACTAACATCATTTTGTGCGCCTTTAATACCTACTATTTATGTCATTAACTTATTAATTTATGTCACGTTTTTACTTTACATATAGTATTACATCTAACTTTTATTACAATAGTTTTCTATTCTAGGTATTCTACAAACAAAATCATTTTTCATATTACTACATATAATGTGATAATTCAATTAGTGAAAATGTGCAGGTATCTTGCACAATTTTCTTCGATATGATTTGCGGATTAGATCATACCTTTTTTCAATAAAAATGCATCTTTTTAAACATATTATATATTTAAGTTGAATGTTTATTTCAAGATCGTGGCGAAATTAAATCCTTGAAATTTTGATAATTGCACAATGTTACAAATTATTAAAAATTGTTTTATATGATACATTTTTATGTACAGTCATAGCTTTATTTCAGCATAAACATGTGTGATGTATTAATAACTAAACATTTTCATGCAAACTTCAAACTTATAAAACTAAAACCAAATATCAGACACAGCATAAACTATATAGTTATATATCTGGAACAAAGTCAACAAAGATCGGGCAACATTGACTGTATCTGGAAAAAATTCAGGCGGAATCAGACGAGATTCCATGCATCTGGAACACATTTAGGTGGAATAAGACGACATTCAAAGTACAGTTTTATTTGAAACATATACAGGCAAGAAAAGACACCAATCCATGTTCCTGAAACAAATACAGTCGAGTGCAGGCAACAAAATCTGGAAAATGTTCCGAAGAAATAAGCTCTGAAGCATGCTCTGGAGGAATCAAACAATACAGGAGAAGCTGATTGTCAGCCTAAGCATGACATCTAGACTTGTTATCGTGTAAACATTGCTTAAAAGCCCAATAATGCTTTTGCTTGTATTTTTATTTCACAAATTTTAAAGCTTTTTAATGTTGGTGCATTTTTATTTTATCCACAAAGTTACACTTTGGACAATTATCTCAACCATCTTTTTTTCATCGGTTGCTTGTTGGCAATAAGTACTATTATAGTGATTTAGTATTTTGTACGGAAATCAAAATACTACTTTGATTACATTTTGCTACTTTTGTGACAAATTGTTTCACATTTTATGGCCTTTTCGTCAGGTAACAATTATCTAATATTCTCTAAACCATTATTTCAACATTATCAAATTCATGTTTGCCCTTGCTAAAGAAGTAAACGTTTATTTGTCTCTGAGGCATAATGTGCCTTTAAAACTTTTTCTAAAATGATTTTCCATTTTTTTGTACTTACATGTCATTACTTACTACAATTACATGTTCAATAAAATCTAACTGTGATTAAATCATTTTGTTCTTATTTTGTTCATTATAATTGTCTCTTTTGCATTAGGAATTTATAAGGTGATCGTAATATCACCGTTCAAGTCTGCAGTCATATTATTTATATAAATATCCAAAATTAAAATTCGTTAAATAGAGAGTAGCTTTATATGAGAAGCTGTCAAATGAATAATAGAGCTATGAACCACTACAGCGTGTGTACATATCAATTAAACTTGCTTCATAAGATTAACCTGAGTAAACGAATTTATGATTGTTTTATTGGGTTTTATGTCACACCGACACATTATAGGTCATATGGCGACGTTCCAGCTTTACTGATAGAGGAAGACCTCAGGTGCCCCTCCGTGCATTACTTCAGGCACGAACGGGTACCTGAGTAGAACAACCGGCGTTCCTTAAGCTAGTTGGATAGCTTCCTCACATGAAAGAATTCAAAGTCCCTGTCGGGACGAATTTATGAACCCAAATGTTCAGAAATATTCACTTTTTCTTACAACACTGATATTGCTTTTGAATAAGGAAATATAACAATTAAGCTGATACTTCCGGCGACTATCCGCCAATACAACCGATACATTATCTGTTAAATGATCTATAAAATGAAATATTCATGGTGAAAAAGAGAAAGCACCAAAGAACGTCCAAAACGACAGGATTAAATACGTTGCAGGCCCAGTATGATTGAGTCTTTCATTGACGGCATCGGAGAATGCAAGCTACCGTCCACGCCCGTAGCCTCAATTGAAACAGAACAGGAATGTGTTAAATTTTCAGTATCAAAACATCCGTAGATATGTTAACATGGCGATGAGTGTGTAACTGTGTTTCATATGTTTTCAATGTTGAATATATCAATTTTATTTTGAGTGAACTCGATCGGATTTTCACTAAGACTAGGAAAACATTAAGAGTAACATTAATAATTGATAAAAGATCAAGGCGTTTTTGTAACACTATCTTCATGAGATTGAAAGGGTCTCACTGTAAAACATATATTTGGATACTTAACATTAATATTGACCATTTTTCGAGTTTGAATTAGAATCTCCTGAGATGAAAATCTTAAAATAAACCAAGTTAAAAATCCGGTAATAAGTTGATTCTATTCTATAAGAAGATAAATCATGAAATTGTTCATTTTGCGTCTATAAGAAATAAACATTGCTGAACATCATGTCTATTTTTGGAAATAAAAGTATCAGGGAAAACAAATGAAAGCTGCAAATGTAACTAGCTGGACAAATAAATTTGTGATTAAAATGTACAAAATCGTAAAAATCTTCCGATCTTGAAAAAAACAAACTATTTGCATCAATGTCCTGGATGGTCCGCTTTTATTTTATGTCTTTAACGCTCTCAGATAAAATCTAATAAAAACAAACGGTGTACTTAGAAAACTTGTTAAGTTGTAGTTACCTAGACAACCTTTATATAAGAAGAAGTTTAATGATTTGCACTAATATGTGAACATCTGATAACCATAAGCAAAAAGCACATTTTGTACTATTATGATTCAACAGCGAATTCTTCACCTCTTGTTTGTTTGTTTGTTTTATTGGGTTTAACGTCACATCGACACAGTTTAAGTCATATCGCGACGTTCCAGCTTTACTGGTGGAGGAAGACCTCAAGTGCCCTTCCGTGCATTATTTCAGGCACGAACGGGCACGTGAGTAGAACCACGGACGTTCCGTAAGCTAGCTGGATAGCTTCCTCACATGAAAGAATCCAAAGTCCCTGTCGGGATTCGATCCCACAACGGTGAAGGGCAAGTTGTTTGAAGTCAACGACCTTAACCACTCGGCCACGGACGCCCCTTTCACCACTTGTAAAATTATGAAATGTGCTACAGTTGTTTTTTGATAACATATCCTTCACTTTTATCTCAAGCAGCCCCTGATACGTATTTCCTCTGTATGCTACAGTAATCTTATTAATGAATACATACAAAAATGCCATTTACTTGTCTGAAGATCATCAATCAAATGAACTATATCTGTCATTGTTATTTGACCCAAATTCATTGATTTTGAATCCAGTTTAGGGGTTCCCTAAGCATAATCATTCAAAAATATAGCTATCAGTTATCTACAAGGACATTTTATCCCATTAATAGCACTGTTTTGTCATGTCCCTAAAACAATGTATATTTTGGGACTATATTGGACTTTGGTCAAAATTTTACCATTTCATGTTTAAATGTTGAATTCTGCTTAAGCCGGTGCTAGGGGGCGTGGACGGTAGTTTGCACTTGACAGTACCGTCCATGAACAGGCATAATCAAACCGAGTCTGCTACATTTTCAATTTTTGCCGTTTTGGGCTTTCTTAAGGGATACTTATTTTCTCTATTTTGGTGGTCATCTTTCCTGAATCTTTTCTGAATGATCCCTAAGCGAAAACACAAAGCGGACGATAAGCTTCTATAAGCATGTTCAAGACATCTTGCCAAACTTCTTGCCATTATATATGGGGCATAACTGTTTCATGGAATTCTAGTAATATTACTTGCAGCATATTTCAATTGTATTAAATTAATACAGAAAATAACACCTTGTTATATCCCGTTGATCTTCTGTGAATTAGAGTTATATATATCATGCCACCCGGAGCCTATCTGAGCATTTTTGTCAGACGTACTGAGTACCTTTCATGTACAAAACAGTCTGTTACATTTTTAATAATCGATCGCTGCTGCAGGGGACCTGTTATTAATGGATATGTGATATTAAAAAATCCAAGTTATTTTATTTGTACAGTCGAGAAAAATGTCAAAATTATCTAACTAGATAACATGCGTTTGTGACTCTATCGGATTGCGCACATTTTATAAACAAACGCACAAAGTGATAGAATAAACTATGCAATTTTATGCAAAATTTAAGTATACACACAATATCCATAAAGAGTTCCTATTATACGTAAATTCTAATTATTCGTATAGTCCAAAAACAAGTTGCCCCTTGTAACAAACATCATCGAATTGGACGAACTACAAAGCTACAAAGATATCTCTTTCACATAATGACTTATTAATGCACACTGTAATCAATTTTAGAAACATTTTTTCATACGAAACACATCCGCAAATGAAAGTGTGAAATGCTTATATAGAAAAAACAATTTAACAGACAACATCAAATTGTTCTTATTATCTTTTATAATCTAAATCTGCTTTCGGCCGTTATACGTTATAACCTCATTTTATATCAAACAAGGGAAAATACTCTTTTAGTATGAATCCATTATTGTAATCTGTGTTATATTATATTATGAGGAAAGAAAACGTAAAATATCGCTACAAAATACAAAAGGACTCTTCAATGTGTAAATTAGTATCACAGTAGTCCCATGCTCTTTTAAACTTTTTCGACTGAAAAAAGTACTTAAACAAAAGCGACTCTCGATATATAAAAATATTTCAACTGAGAAATAAAAAGCAATTACATGGTTCAAGAAAATAAATAGCATGTGCTTTACAACAAAAATAAAGTATACTTTGCATAAGATTGACATCTTTGAACTGGGCCCATATGTATTATATAACATAGGTATGTGACTGTTTAACTCTTAATTTACTGTTGTCCTAGCTGGATGTATCTTTATCCACTGTTTAAATAGCAGCAGACAAATATACCACTGCGCAGCATTTTGCGCAGGTATGTGACGTAACGACTCCTTGTAATATGCAGCTGCTAAACTGTAGTCCTCGATGTATTCTGACCACAGACCAAGGAAATTTAAGACAATTTCCATATGATAGACATCAGGAGAACCAAGATAAACACCTATATATTCGATGGTACTATATAATACTGTGTTGAGGAACCCAAAATATACCTTTGCGTCTACGGCAGCCCATTTCCGGTAAGGCGGCATTGAGTTTGCATTTGTTACAAAGGAAGCAGTTGCCGACCTATACATCTCGTATCTCATCGCAAGTGGCGTGATCAGAGATTCTGTGTGTAGGAATGTTACACAGGTACAAACGTGTTCCATTATTTTCCCTTTCCTACTCATCCGGGGAGAATTATGACCGACGCCACTGGAATGCAAAAGTATGCATGGACATACCGCTTGCGAGTTCATTCTGTCAGATATTTCGATCTCTAACATCATCTTCCTAGCACTTGTCAAGTGGTTCAATGCAATTAAAGATGTTATGAATTTCATTTTACTTGACAATGCATCAGACTGCATTCCTCTTTGGAAGTATATAGTCGCAGCACATAGATACCAGTCTCTCTCAACCGTGTTTTCAGTCTTCAAAGCCAGACATACTAAATGAGAAGCAAGACTTGTTGAAATGTATTGGTAGGCAACATTTGCTACAAGACTGTTTGTCACATGCTCGATTCCTGAAATGTGTGTTTCCAAAAAGTTCAAAATTCTGTAGTGGTTTTCTACTGCAGAGGTTTCATTTGAACTTCTCTTAACAATCCATTCCAACAGGAAATCTTTATATACAGCTATCTGTGCACAACTTTCATAATTGATCAACAAGTGCATTTGTTTCCTTTCCCCTCTGTTTGCCGGTATTTGAGTTTGCTTTTCCGAACCTTCTGCATTTATATTTAATAGATTACCCTCTGTTATACTAGAAATGCTTTCGTATGGATTACTACAAATCCGAAGAAGTATTTCATCAGCACGACATCTATCTTCAGGATTCAATGCACCAGCTATAAGATTTTCTTTCAGGATAAAGAAATGTGGTAAGAAGTCTGCACGAAGAAATTGACGAGTTTTGGTAAGACATCCGACCAGGCATATGATAAGTGTTGCAGTATTCCAGAGATCCGGCCAAGTATTGGAAACCATGTGAAAGAAAATATTCTTTATCATATATGAGGTCAATGATCCTGAAATATGGGGATTTAAAAAGTTCCTTATGATTGTCCGGAAAAGAAAAAATACTCTTTTCTGGTGGATATTCAATGAGTTCATAAGAAACCTTTCCACATATGCTGTAGATACACGCCATTCCATTTTCTCATCACGGTAATCAGTACTATCATGAGGTACCATTAACAGAGGCTTACTCAGTAAATGTTCGCCAGAGGTATCGAATGCCCATGCAATGGCACGCTGTTGCAATGATCTTTTCAATTCAATAGGCCAGGAAGGCATCCGTAATGCAAACACGGTAGCAGCACCAAATCCGCAATGTACATTGGCTGTTGATTCCTTGCGTCTATTCAGCGATTCAGCCGCACAGATTAGAGAACTTTCATCTGATATATCTTTAAACATTTCATCTGTCAATGGTAAGTGCATGAAACCAGGCCTTGTATTTTCAGCAAGAATGATAGTCCTGATTGTACTTGGTTGCTCTAAGGAAAACGCGTTTTGTATCACGGTATACTCATCAAGAATGACCATGGTATCTAGGTGTTCACACTTGACTTTTGTACCTTCAGCTTCACTACCAAAATGGATGACATTCACGCGTCTCTTTGATAGCTTTGCCATCTGGTTCATAATACTTTCTGATATTTGTATCATTTCCTGTTGGGATTCAAAAACCTCTTGATTTAAACCAAATTTCTCTAATACTGTTGACAAGAGAACAGAATGTTCAAACTCATACTTCATTCTAGAAACCAGCTTATCTGGAAATAGAAAGTGAATTTTATGAATTTAACCAAAAATCATGTTTAAAAGTCATATAATTTGAAAATATTCCATAAGGATTAAATTGGAATACAGAATCGCGCTCTTATTATTATTGAGACACATTTTGAATGTTAATAATCGTAAAAGCTTTAAACAGTATCTAAATGCACGTCGTGTCAAAAATTAAAACCTACATTTACATTTCATATATCAACTGGAATAAAACGTTAACTCCATAAAATTATGGATGGATTGTGAAAACAATCTTAAATATGGTTGTTAATGCAGAACTGGTGTCAACTTAAAAAGTTTTTTATCAAGACTATCAAGTATCAACTATTAAGTTGAAAGAAACAGAATCCCCAAAGAACGCCCAAAACGAAATAAACTGAATAATTTGCAGACTGGGTTTGGCTTGGCCTGTACATGGACGGTAGTGATAAATGCAAGCCACTGTCTACGTCCCCAAGCACGTGCTTAAGCAGAATTACAAATGAAAATAGTGAGGTTTTGAATTTTGAAACATTCGCCGTCGTATTGATACGGCAAGTATCATTGACCCTTTAATGAAACATGTTTCTGACACTCAATTAAAAGATTACGGAACGGAACAAAATGGAGTTTTGGAAGGGGATCAGAACAGAATTTATTGATGAAGCCACCAGCTCATAACATATACATTTATAACATTTAAAACGATACATCTTATGTGGATACAATCACATAAATACATTAAAACAATTCTCACACATTACATTACTGAAGATAAGATCAGGCATATCACAAATAAAGCGTCAGAAGACATGAACCATAAAAGTAGAGAAAAGTAGAGAAATATGAGTCTGGATTTACCTTGCTGAGCCGGTTCAGAAGGCTCTCCTTCAGAAACAGGCACAGTGGTACAGAGGGTTGAATCCTGACAAAAGACATACATATATAATATATCATGCATGACTCATTTGATAACATATCTTAAGACTTTATTAAATTACAACTATGGTTCACATGACATCATGCTATGTCACAGCATTTTGTTTCTTACAAAAAAACGGAATGTTCAGAACTCTTTCATATTACAGAAAAGATATAAGAATACTGAGAGATCGTTGTTTTGTTATCATCGAAAGAAGTAAAGGTGACGTCTACTTTCCTAATAATACGTTAAAAATATGGATCTGTAATAAAAACAACTACTACTAACTGATGCTTTATAGACTACAGTCTATTGATTTAAAGAAAGATAAAGTGCTGCTTACCAAATGTGTCCTGTTTTGTGCGGAATCAGACGATTCACCAAATCTAGACGTCATACACATAATATTACTGTAAAAGTTGTCTGCTATCGCGCAATCTAAAAATATTACAGTCCGAAAAAATAAAATTGATAAAAATAAAAATGATTAAAATTTAAATGAAAAAGAATGTTCCTTAGTATCTATGCAAATATTTGGAGATGTCTTTAGGGGAAAACAAGCAGCTTAATATGTAGCCTGTTTATCCGTTTGATCCGTTTGTATATTGATTAAGTTTTATTTTTTACATTTTATTTAATAGCTCATGTGTGAAACATCAAAATGTATCAAACATTAAAACAATATTTATCAATGATATAAGTGCAGCTATTCTTTTTGACGGTAGTCATCTCAATAACAATACTAAATAGTCACGAGAAGTTTGATTCAAGGGAAATAACTTTTCAAGAGCCAATATTAAGTATGAAATAGCCATTGAACATACCAGTGACATGTATCATTTCGCTTGGTATATTCTGCGTTACGTCAGTTTCTGCTGTAATAGGACTAACATTTCTTGCTAGGTTAGCAGTAACGTTATCAGAGAGTGGAATCTCTTCTACCAAGCCTTGTGGCTTTTCGTTGGCTTCTTTAGCTGAAATATTTGAAATACTAAAAATCTGATTGCAAAACAAACGTTGGAAATAAAAGTAATTGAATAACAAATTATATTTATTTATCATACTGACATTATACAACTGCCCATAAACCACAAATATAATTGTAAATACAAATCAGAGAATTGTTTCAGATAGTGAATCAAAGTACTTATCTAAATGATGAAGACCGTTTCTCTTTAAAAGAGATAATAATGTGATGGACATTATTCGAAAACATTTTTTCATATTAATATGGCTTCTAATAATTGTAGTAAATTTTCATCTAAACACACTTTTATAACCCTCTAAATTCGGTTCCTCTAATTGCTTTTCTGCTTCAGTTTTATCTATGTTAGCACCAGCTACAATTTCTTCTATTTCTTCAACCCTTGACGACTCAATATCATCTCCAGACTGTCTGATATCTACAACAAAAGAAAAACCAAAAGATACAAAATTTCAGAAAATCTCAAAGGACAAGTTCTCTAAAAATGTATGCGTGCATAAAGCAAAACGGCAATGGATTAACTTAAAATATTTTGTAATGTTCACGTGTATATAAGTGGCTATTGTTCTGATAAACATGTTAACTTTTTGAAATAGGGTTTCAATTTGAATTATTTGCTTTTACATAATGCAGATTTTGCTACATTTATTTGTCAATATGACTATGATGTTATTCTTATGCTTATATATTTGTACTGATATGTTCGTACTGACAATTGGAGATGCATTGGTATTATAATATTTTCACAGTCGTCGTAACTTATGTTTGATGTTGATATTAACAGTAGTATTATAATATTATTGTATAAACATGCAGTAAGACCATAATTAACTAACCTCTTGTATCAAAACCCATTTCCGTTATTTCATCTCTTACGCCTTCAGATATGGTTTCATCAAATAGAGTAGTCTTCCTTGTTCCTGGTTGCACAGCAACAATTTCCACACCTCCTCTTCTCGGTACTTTGTAGGAAAAAAACATCCCACATTTTTACCATTATCTTTGAGCATTAAGTATACACTATTTGGTTTAAACATATTTATTCGATATATTTACATTATGTATGATGAACAATATTTACACAATACATTTTGTGATATTGGAGAAAACTCTGAAAGCAGCACGCCTCCAAATTCATGTTAATTTTCATGAAAATTTTAGAAATGTATTTGAAAGTTAAATATTGTGATGTGAACAAAAGTAGTAGTTTACTTATAACAATCGGCACTTACAATCCAAGAAAATAACCAAAAAGTGTTCAACATATGCAAAAACTATATGCCCTTACTACGTAAGTAACGCAGTAGAAATATGGTGATAACATACTGCAAAAACAGTCTTAAACCGCACATAACATGTAAAATATAACTTGGATCTTAAATGTTTTTACCTTTCACAAAGTTTTAGAACATTTTTCTCAATATTGAATTTCTTGAAATATTTTGGCTCATCTGGAGGCGTGCAGCTTGAAAACTTATGAGTGTCCTCTCGCATATACACTATTTGACACATTGGACATGTCTACCAACATTTTACCTTGACATTTAAAAATCAGTAGCTAATCTACAAATTTGATCTTTGAGAAATAAACTTTACTTATTGAAAACTATGTTTTGAACCATCATTTGTTATGATATGCTTATCAAAATCTGAATTATAATGCTAACAAATACCTACCTGTCGCCCTTTCTGTATTAGCTGCATTAGAAGTATCTTCAACTTTGTCCCCAGATTCTTGTGTCCCGTGGTTTGTTTCTTGTTCATCTGCATTTCAAACATATTGGGGAAAAAATGATACAATTATAAACGATAACATAACGATAATGCTAATACCACTGAAATATGTTGAAACCCTCAAGAACATTTATTAGATATATCTAAATATTTCAGTAGGCAAGACTCGGCTCAGTTATTATCCAGCATTTTTCCTTTTTCTGTATTGTTTTAACTTATTTCAAGTAGTACAGTGCATACTTTCTGGAAAAATTCTAAACTTTTTAAAAAAGGGCGTCCAAAAATGAAATATGACTTTGTAATTGAACTTTTGGAATCGAAGATCGAAGTGAAAACGTAAAATCAGCCGCGTCACGACAAAATCAGTATAGTGCGTTTGCGACCAGCATGGATCCAGACCAGCCTGCACATCCGCGCAGTCTGATCAGGATCAATGTTGTTCGCTACCAGTTTCTCTTCTTGTAATAGAGTTGGTAAGCGAACAGCATGGATCTTGATCAGACTGCGCGGATGCGCAGGCTGGTCTGGATTCATGCTGATCGCAAACGCACTATGTTGGTTTTGTCGTGACGCGGCTCAAATCAAGTGCATGTACCTTCTTGATTTATATTTTGGTCTTCTATCCCTGGAGATGTCTGTTTAACTAAAATAATACATTAAAACAATTTATATACAGTACATATTAACATATAGTAGAATGAGCAAGTACTTTTTTATCTGATTAAGATAACGTAAATACAAAAGGAAAGCAATAACATTTACAGAACAAAAACTTGGCATGATAAACACAATACAATTAAATGTGTAAAATATCTAATTTTACCAACAATTGCTTGATCACAATTCCATCTCTTAAATTCGAAATTTAACGATGAAATTTATAAAGAGACACTTACTAGTATGAAAATTTGGGAGACAAATATTAAATGAACGCGTCAAATATGAATCATCGTTATTTAGACTATAAATGCTGATTAAAGGAAGATGTGAGAAAAACAATAACAACTAAAAACAATGAACTTGAAATATTCCTCTCAAATTTAGATTTTTAAAAGCAAATATATATAAAGAAATGCGAATATGTGTTTTAAAGCTAATATAATCGTTCGTTAATATCTTACTAGCTTCTTCAAGAGCTTCTTTAAATTTCGGAACATCAACTGAAGCTGTGATTGATATTTTAGATCCGACATATTCGGATAATAACTCGGCAATTTGGTTGAATTGGTTTTGTGCTCCACCACCATTAAATACGTCCCAAATGTTGACTAGTCCTTGTAAGTCGTTCACCCGCATAGACAGGCGTATGGACCTTGAGTATTCAATGTTTTCTGTTTCTGTGAACATTAACTGTTAGTTGTAATACGAGAAAAAAAACGCGTTTTTAATCCGAGTTTGTAAAGACATACAATTTCTTTTATACATGTAATATAATTTACATTTTCAGGACGATTTGATGTTTTTGTCGTATACATATTTAAAGATTGAAATAATTATTTTAGATCAACACTGAAATAGAAACCAATTTACTTTTACAAGTTAAATATACATAATCAGTTCAATGAAACAAACGCTTTTCTTTAGCTCTCGACGTTAAGTCTTCTTCAAAAAAACAAATCTTTTTTTTCTTATTAAATATACAAAGCAATTATCCAAAACGCTTTAATTGAATTCTGCTTAATATTATCACATACGAAAACAAGACTTTGTGATACATACTTATAGCTTCAAAGAGACTTTTCATGTTCTCATCGTCGAAATTGCAAGTAAGGGACAGTCTGTTTTCAGTGCCAAAATGTTTCCTCAGGACAGATGCTACGACTTCAAGACGTTCTAAACATTGTAAACTTTCAAAATAGCCAATGACATCCAACAGAATACGATAACTTTTACATTCTATTCGAAAGATTGCGCCTTTTCCTTTTTCATATTTAGCGAAAACTTTGCAAATCGTTTTCACTTCTTCAAATATTTCTTCAAGAGCTTTCTTCACTTTATGAAATTCACTTTGACCATCTTCTTCTGTACTTGTAAAATGTTCGGACACATCATCAAGCGCTGTTTCGACGCTCTCCAACAACTCCTTATTCCTGCTATGAGGCTGGATTACGAACTCAATGACTTAAATGTTGAGAAGAAAGATAGTTGGCATGCTCTAAGTTACAAAACAATGCAGAACAGAAAGGTATATAGTAATAATGAATAAATTATTTCATTATTCACTTAAATAAATGCTTTGTCAAAAGAAAGCAAATTTTATGAAAAGAGGTCAATTTTAAATATAATCAATATTAACGATGAGGCTCCAGTGAAGAGATCTATCATTCTGCTTACATATGGCAGCAAAAATAATTTTTCACGTTGAGAAATTACCACATTTCTTATAATCAAATGTATCAAATCAATTAAATTAGGCAGAACAAATGTTTTTTCATTGTTTTCTTTTATTCTACCTTTGGGTTCCTTCATTTCTCTGCCGTTATCTTCCGCCTTTCTTACGATACCAATTATATCATCAACTATAGATTTAGTCTCCTCCTTCAACCGCTGAGCAACGTTTTCGAAGGCATCATCTGCCTCACACATTTCGTGCAGACGATCAAGTGTGGATGGCATATGAATCGGTTCATCTACATATCTGTAATAGGATATAATTTGTTATCATTGGGAAGAAGGGTTTGTTCTTTAAACATTATGTTACTTATTTTTAGCAATTTAGATTAACCAAATACATGATTTCCATGTCAAATTTGGTAAAATAAAATATCAAAAAGGTAAATACTAATCTTAAGATCATACCAATATTGCAAAGTAAAAAATACCAAAATTGCACAGTAATAAGGTAATCACTAATCAGTTACAGCTATTGAAGATTGAATCATGGAAAACCAAAATCGTTTATTTGATTATTAACAGATTAAGGTACCAAATATCTTGCAAATTCATAAAAATAAAGTTTCTCATCGGATCGCAAAAAGAACTTTAAATAAATTGATAAGCAAACAACTTGTTTTGAAAAATGAAAACATATACCTGCTGACGATTTCCTGACATTTCACAACAAGAGCAGAATCCAGGCCTTGTGATAAAGTATCTAAAGCTTCTTCTAGCTGGTCTCTTAGATCCTCGAAAGTTTCTTCATCTAGAGAGACATCCTCTACATGTGCCAACAACTCTTCTCGGACATTCCGTATCACCAACAGTTCCCGCTTTTCTCTTGGGGTCAAGGTCGTGCGGAATAATTCTAATATAACGCCTATAGAAAAAAAGTTAGCATGCTATCAGGCCACCATCTTAAAATCACGATATATCAGAATTTAAGACCTAATCTTAGCATAGTCAAGTCTAGTAATTACTTTTTCTATTTTCAATCTAGCATATTGGATGTATTAGCATGTATATCTAGAAGTCATTTCATTAAAACCAATATCTTGCTCTATAAGATGCAGTTGGAATGTTTATTGTTATGGACAACTATAGTACAGTATTTCATGTGGGACAAGAGATATAAATCATTTTAACTTTGTATTTCTTTCATTATAATTATGAATAATGATTGTTATCTAGCTCTTATTTGAATGTTATTCACATAATGATCTAAACAAGTGACGTGTCCCTATAAGGGATACTTTCCGCGAATATTTCACACATTTATCAATCGATTCATATATTTCTATCATGTATATATTCATTTAAAATTGGGTTATATTTTTGAGTAGATTTATTGTTTTAAATGACAAATTTCTAAATAAAATGTAAATTTCTAATAAATAAAATAGGTATAACAGCAAATTTAATGTTATGTATAGTTTCCAACTTAATACTTCCTAAAACATAATTACAAGCATTTAAAAGTCTTAAATCTCTTATCTTGTCGCCGGAAAAAACAAACCTCGGTCGTTTATTGTGCTCAAAGCATATTCAATACATAAAACAAACGCTTCAGGGCATGTGGTGACCACATACTTACATAGACTCTTTGTTATCCGTTATCTGTAAACGTAAATATTTCATATACATTTCTTAGGTTGCATCCTAAGTTACATAGATTTAATTGTTAAGTCATTTTAAATGACATACCTGTTAGCAAAACTACATTCCAGTCCTCTGTAAAAGCTAATCCTATATCATTCATTTGTTCCTGGGTAAACCTTCGTTTCAGTTGTTCTGCGTGGTCCTTCAGAAAATCCTTCAAATTACCCTCCTTTTTCTTCGTCTCTCTTTTCAAAAGTTCTCGTGCAATAAATGTTCCACCTTCCATAAGAAGGGATATAATCCTTGTATAGTTTTCATGACGTCCTCTCTCCATATTAAATTCGTAGTGACATGGACTTACTTCATTTCTTCCTTTCGCATTTCACCTAATAATTTATAATGGAAACAGACAAACTTATAAGTAAGCTATAACTTACATTACGAACTGTCAAGTTACATAACGAAAACACTCTTCACATACATGTATAGTAAATATTACAATGCTTATACGCACGTATGGCAAATCAATATTTCAAGATAATTAGATTAAGATTTTAATTGCTCAATCAGGACATAATAATAATAATAATAGTGTTACGATGTAGTTTTAGCAATGCACCTGGTTTAGGTTTGATTTAATATGAGAAATGAGGCTATTATTAATTGCTATAAATCTGTTGGGGCTAGACTGTGAATCAGTCTGGGAGATTTTAGTAGAGCTAGTTTCAGTATATGCATTTTTGAGAGTTTTATTCTCAGTGACTAATCAACCAGATGCGAGAATGAAAACTCTGTAAATTTAATTATCAATTGCAGACTAGAAATTTAAAAAAACATTTTCAACAAATAAATGATGAAATGAAATTAAAATCAGTTATTGAGTATTTTATACAAATATGTCGAATTACGGAAGTATTTAACTTACTTTCATTTCAGATGTAAAATAGCATTCACAAGCAAAATATTATCCGTCTTATAAATACTGACACCCATGAAACATTTTTAAGTTGCATGTGTGTTTAATCATATTGAGGTTGTGTACATATTTTATCTAATGCATACACATGTACTTGAGTTTAAATATAGGTTATTCACTTGTTTATGAGGATTAGATCTACTACTTTCGCTTTGAAATGTTCAATTCAAATCATTAAAACTCCTTTTTAAATATAAATGTAAAATTGTAAAATAATCGATGATAACATAAAAATGCTACATCAATGGACATCGCTATACTGCTAAATAAACAATCTACTTTCGTTTTCAAATTGTTTAAATTTTGATATTACATAACACTTACGATATAAAATGTAAATAGATTAAATGATATTCATATAATTAAATACTGCTTACCATTTCACAATGTTGATGTTGCAATCAATATATTTAAACGGATCACATTTAAATTCTTGTTTCGATTTCGATACTACGCAGCAGACAAATATATGGCCGACATATTGGTATTGTGCTCGTTGTCGGTAGTCACGTGAGCGCGATCAATCGGGTGTATCTCCTTTTAGTTGTTTTTCATTCAGGGGCGTACAGGTAGAGCGTTACGCACTTACGCACTTGCTTAACATTGATTCAGGAAAACAAAAATTCAAATGTACAAAAAACGGTAAGAAAACTAAAGGGTATGGACGAGGGTGATGTTTGAGCGTTTAAGGCATGATTCCAAAATTTATTTACCTCCAATCATATAATTGATTCTAATATAAATATAGCTCTTCGAAGTATTTAAGTATAGTAAGTTTCAGATCTTTTAAACTATTATGACTTTATAGAGTGAATAATATTCGTAAGTTAACTCCTTAGTGTAAATGTTTTGAACTTGAGCATAGCGGTAGGTCCCCTTAGTATAAAAAGTTATATAGCGCGTACTTTCAAACTGGCGAGCGATAAATGTTGTGTCCCTCCTTTTGGAGATGTTTTTATGAAGCAATCACTTCACGCTTATGAAAAGATTCAACATTTAAACGCCAAGATGGACTCTGTCATCATTAGGCATTTCGGAGAAAGTTAAGAGGTTCTATTTGACCTTTTGTGATTGATAAACTAGAGAAGGGACAAACCTACTAATGTTTAGACCTACTTAATTATTTCTTGCATGTAGCGTTAGTTAGGAGCCGATTTTAATTAGATTGGATTAGAGCTTGTTGTATGTGTACTGCACTTTGTTTTAGATCTATCTATACTGATTCGTCGGTGGTTCTACACGGTTTTATTGTTTATATTTCTATTTCTGTCGGTTTGCAAGATTTTCATATGGTCTGTTCAATGGAAGATGTGTAATTTTGTGTTAATGTTTATAAAGCAGTTAATTGGTCGTTATGCATTGCTCTTTTCTTGAAAACACTTTCCTCACCAGAAGGCATGAAACTTTAATATTATGATACATTTATTACATTCCATGAAAACGTTTAAAAATATAAAATATCTGATGACATGTTTGTTCATTTTATATAACACCTTATGTGCAGTAAGCATAAAAAGTTTTCACAAGAGTAAGTATGCAATCGTACCTATATTACATTCGAATGTATGTAATGTTTTTCTTGTTATCATTTAATCCCTTCGATTTACAGCTAAAAACAAATTCGGAGGCAAGAATTCCTTCCGATTTCTATTATGTAAAGTCATATATTGGTTTCCCAATGTCCGAAAATCAAATCTGTTTATAAATGTAGTTTTCCGTAGTTTTTTTCCGATAAATTAATTTTTGATTCAATTTTGTTTGAAGGCAATCGGTTTTATGGTGGCTTGGGTGGAATGTTGATTTGCCGAATACTGTGACATTTTAACAACAGAAACTTTCGTCTGCAGCTTTTACATAAGGTGTTATGGGTTTATTGATAGGACGAGGATTTGGAAGCAATTCAACAAAATAGTAGATTGATCTCCCATTAAATCAATTAACAAAGCTCTTTATTTATCATCAATGTCAAGTACATGTAGTTTAAATTATATCTTTGACTCGCATGAACGTGAATTTGGTAAATTTCCCCATACGGTCCAGTCTTCCGTTGATAAATAATGTTTCACCATATAAACATGATTTTTAATTATGACCCTTATTTTTGTTAACGCGTATCACAAAAAAAATTCTAGAATTCGGCATTTTTGAAATTTATCCCAAATTTTCATTCCAGTGTGTGTTCTACTTTCAGTATTTATCTTTGACTTGAAATATAAAACTACTGTATCTGAAGTCCCACCTATTAATAGTAACCATTTTTGTTTTAATTTGACATGAAAAAATGCATGTTATACTACTATATTAATGCCTATATACTGTTTGTATTTTTGCTACAATTATAATAATAAAAAAAAACATAACTGTTTTGTATGTTCCAAAGAAAATGCAATTAATATACATGATAAGTATACATTTTGTAATTATGCAAATTTAAATGATTTACAAAACATCCTGAATAATGTATAATAGCACTTAATATAAAAAGAAAATGACCTGTGCGCAGGAATGATTTGGTAAGGTATCTGTAATGAGCGCATTTTTTTTGCGCGGATCTTCTCAATTGCTGCATTACAGCAACATTTGTACTTGTATTCCACGTGTATTTAGTACAGCTGAAATATACTGTGTCCTGCTTGGGCAAGTTAAAGGACATCTATTGACATGCAAGATGGTTTTTTTTTCTAAATGGCTTTTGCCCCCTTCTGTATTTTATGAAAAAGTAGCAAGATTTTACATTCTCGCATGAAACTTTTGGCGCCACTCAACGTTGAATTTTACTTACAGTACCAGTGATTATAGTGAATTCTTCGAAGAAGAAAGTTAAATCTCGTTCGACGCCGACACCGACGCCTGAGTGATTGCTTTAGATCTCCCTATTTTTTCAAATAGTCGAAATAAAACAACAGGTTTAGTAAATCTGAAATCTTAATAGACGATATTTTAACTGCCTCTAACGGGATACCCTAAAAACGGACGGAAAGATGTAGCAAACTTAATAGCGTAACTCAGGAGTATGTTCAATTCATCGAATACGAACCAAATAAATTGGATGGCCATTTCCATGAACAAAGTTACTGCTGATTTTTTTATCGACGAAACTAAATATCTAAATGTTGTTCGCTGGAAGATGCTAACATTTTATCTTTTTAGTATATCATCTGACATTCTATCACAAAACAACAAAAACAACAACAATATCATGCCATTCACTGCCCCTCCCCCACCACCACCATAAAAACTATCATAAACAGATGAAGATAAACATTTCGTTAAACATGTGGATAAGGAAATTTTCGAAATTTAAAGTCCAAAACGTCCAAGTCTCTATGGTCTCCGACATAATACTTGAAAGCAGATGCCTCTCAAGCTTTAAGTTTCAAGGGGGAAAATACACAGTTTTCAAAGCTTCTCGGCAAAAACTTGACTGGGCCACAATCAAAACCTAACACACAAGTCTGTAATCACACACCTGAAATAAATGCATTTTTCATAATTAACATATACATATGTATCTCAAAGCAAACATGTTAAAAATACAAGTCCACCTTCTAGTTTTCGGCCACATAGCCTTGTGTTTTTCATTGTTTTTGTTTGTTTTTTTTTTTTCGCGAAAATTAATGTCACAAAAAGTGAATTACGCCTATTTGAAAACTATGAAAACTGTATCAAAATCAAAAAAATTAGATCAGACACTATTTAAATTGTTTCTATCGTCTTAAACAATTCACAATCTGAAAATAAAATCCAAACGGGGAGACATGTAGTAATTTTTTCCACTATTTTATGTCTTCTGCATACCCTTTGAATTGAAGAACTGATTTCCGAGCTAGCAGTATGGATCAAACATTCGAATCTGACAGGTACTCCCCAAAATGTATTAATTCAATTACAAAATGGTCTCTTATTTGTAAATTTGACCCTGGCCAATTCGAAACATAATGACTGCCTCCGAAGTGTTGAACATGTGCTACAGTTTTCTAGCAAATCACTAAGTCATCCGTATTCTTACTCCAAAACTAAAACTGAATGTCGCTATAACAGTGTCTAGGTATCATTCGTAGACATTTTCATATTGTATTATTTTATTTATTTTCAGAAAATGAATTTACAAACTGAATATTACATTCGGCTTCTGTTGCTTCTTGTACAATACGGAATGTTGGTCTGTAGAAGTGTGACAGATAGAGAGCTCGCTGGTATTGAACTAGATGTGATTCTCCAACCACATGAGGCAAGCTAAGAAAGAAGCTTCTGAAATCTCAATATCTTATGTTGTTCCCTAAAAGTGGAAAACCTGACGTCAAAGATTTTGATCTATCACTGTTAACTGTCGTTTTGCTAGATATTTTTACGCTTTCAACAACAGAAATACAGTGTGTAAGAGTCATTAAGGAAACAAGGAACAACTTGTCGCACAATGTATCAGCTGCCCTTGAAGAAGAAGATTATAACACGATCAAAACTGATCTGGAAGATGCTTTTGTAAAATTGTCCTCAGGCCTTGATGTAAAATTACAGGAAGAATGCTCGCAATTAATACGGAAATTCACAAAGGATCCACTGGATGAATCAGATGTATTGAAATATGTTAAAGAATTGATGACCAACGATGGGTTGATACAATATATTAAAGAAATATTAGAACGAAAATTAGAAGATGTTGTACAAGAAATTAAGGCAGCAGAAAAAAGAATGAAAGGCGAAATGTCAGGTAGTATATAAGTACATGTACTCTAATCTGCAGCAATTAAGATAATCACAAATATAGGAAACGACATGTAATTGAAACTTTTACAAATGACAAAAGAAAGACAAAAAATCAGAGAAGATATTAAATAACCACTTTGTTCTAAGGTTAAACCGATGTTAGAAACATTTGAATTATCTTTTTGATCTTTTGTTTAGTTTTTTGCATCTTACCTGTTAAAAGACAGGAAAAAAATACGAAGAAGCTAATTCTGTCGGAATATCTATCGAGCTTTGAGCTAATAAAGCATCTATTGCAGCAGATATACCACGCCTGTTACTTACTTATCAATTATCCATCACATTAAACATTTGGGTTCATATAGCTTGTTTGAATTCGACCAACTCGGTCAAACGGTCTTATAAAAGCAAAAATAGTGGAAGAGATGGTATAGCTTAATTGCTCTCTGACTTAATTCCTGTTCAAGTATTTATCCCGGCAAAATAGGGATCAAGAAACCAATCGCTTAATATGCATGCGATTAATTTGTCAACATAATTATGATCTGATTGAAAATGATTCTGAAATCTACCTCGGTCGGTTGAGAATTTCTGTCGACCTGAAGTCGATTAACTGTCAATCGAGGCAAGTAAATATGATCGAGTTTCTGATAGAGTATCGTATAGAAAATATTTGTGCTCTTAACTGGGGTATTTTATGTTTGTGTGGCGATCGTAAACTGAACTCTTGTACAAACTGCAGATGTTTGTCGAGAGAAGATCGGGTCGGAATGATCGGGATTGGTTGTTTTACTGACGTCACAGAG